TTTTTTTTTTTCAATTTTTTTTTTTGGTACCAGGAATAGAACTTGGGCCTTTGTGCTTGCAAAGTAGGCAGTGGAACCACTGAGCCAAATCCCCGGCCCAGCTTTTAGCTTTTATAAGAAAAGAAACTTTGAGTCAGGGATTTAGCTCAGTGGCACCGCACCTGCCTCACAAGGTCCTGAGTTCAACCTCCGGTACCAAAAGAAAGAAAGAAAGAAAGAAACTTTGAAAGGACCCATCTCCTTTTTGTTCGGTTTCTGCTTTCCTCAGCCCTTTCCTGTTTAGAAAGCCAATCTTTGCTCAGTTCATTGGAACCCTTGTTCTATAGAACAGAATTCTAGAATTGCAAATAAAACCCAATCAGGGTCTTTGAATTTCTTGTGATTTTTACCTTTCGACAGAGTTGCTGGGAAATGCTGTCTCCATGAAGCTGAAGAAAGGCTGATTGTGTATTCTTCAATAACTGGCAATTCGTGGAGCTGACTGTGATTAGGGGAAAAGGACACAAGCTCACAGGTTAGTACTTTCCCTGAAAAACAGTTCCAACAGTAATTTCCAGAATATTACCCCTGTTCTTTTTGTACATCTGGAATATGCATTAAACTCTCCGAAGAGTATGCATTCAATGTAAGAGTATTCATTAGTCACCTATGGTGTGTTCCAGCCTCTCGGACAGAGCAGTGAGGCCAGGAGACAGCCCCTTCCTTTCACAGAGCTTATTATTAGTGGGAAGCACAGTAGGATAAAGGCCATCATTTGCTATAAAGAAGCAAGTGAAGTGGCAGTGACAACAGTGCTATTTTTGAAAGGTTGGGAAGTTCGGGGACATGGGTGTGTTCTCAGGGTGCGCTGGAGAGGAGGGGAGCTAGGACAGGGACTCCTCAGGGTTTTCAGACAAAGGACAGCTTGAGAATGAACACTCAAGGCCTGGTGTGCGAGGTTCAATAGAAAACTATGGTGAACATTTAATTTTTTAGACAATCTAGTAGAAAAAGAAACATTGCCATGAATCACCCTCAGAATCCCTCCCCTTGCCTTGAACATGCGTATCTCATGTTCTTGTCACTTTCTGAAGCAGTTCTGAGAGTACTCTTTCGTAAGAGTCTTTATGCGGTATGATCAGAAATACGGCGAATGCTGCTGCCAGAGTACCACCCACAGACAGACTCTTAAAACCATGATGGTGTCTCCACCCGTCGTATTTACCCATGCCTGGCACAGTGAAGCTTCTGGCTCTTCCTCAAAATGGAAATGAGTGTGAAAGGTCAATACTTTAAATTGATTCAGGACGACCAGAACAGCTCAACTAAAAGCACTCATGAAAGAGGACTTTCAGAGCTGCTGCAGAAAATGGCAAGAAAGACGGGATAAGTGTGTTCAAAGCAAGAGGGTGTGGTGAAGCAACTTAATGCAATGTGCCTCGCACCGTAATAAATATATTTTTGAAGCAAACACTCACCATATATTTTGATCACACTGCATACCAGCAGTTCACTGTGGTTACCTTGGTGGTGGTTCAAACGCTCAACACTGTAAATTTCTCTCTGTTGTTTACAAGCTTGAGGAAATGAATTTTATTTAGGAATCTAATCTGTCACAAGGCAGTTGCCTCATCCATCAGGTAGAAGATGGATATGGTCCCACTCAAAAAACAAGGACTGAGCAGACTGTTGCAAAACAAAGGAAGGTATGCAGAGTCAGCTTAGGCGAGTTTCATTCTGCCCCTGAGTCACAACTTTGCTCCTCCCTTGCCTCTCCCCTTCCCAGGTTTCTTCTTTTTACCCACAGTTCAGCTGGGCAGCCTGTTCACTTTCCTCTCATCCTTGGTATCTGGGCAGCACTGGGTGAAGACCAAGGAGGACAGCCCTGGGAAGGCACAGGGGAGGCACAGGGATCAAGAAGGAGCCACACGTGCCACCCACGAGGCAGAAGGAGGGATAGCACCAGCCTGAGCAACGGAAAAGTCCAGGACCCTGTGTGTACCTGTCTGGGTTCCAAGTCTGCTGTGAACTGTGTACTTCTGGGTCCTCTTCATCCCCAGAGCAGCCTGTCAGGAATCATTTCTGTCTTCCCTGGGGCTTTCACTAAATCCTGGCTGGTTCCCATCAACTCCTAGAGGCTGGTTCTTTTCCAGAACCCAAGGGTTTTCAGCTCTTAGCTGACCAGCAACACCCCCGCCCCAAGTGCTGCAATCTGGTGGAAGAATCAATGAGACCATGTGGATCACACAAATAAACTGCCAATGGAATCAGGGACTGTCCCTGTCTACCCCCATCATCCTGTGCTGGAGAGACTGACCTCCATGCTCACCCAGGCTCCCCTGGTCTCAGTGCTGGGCAAGCTCACAGGGTGGGCAGCGAACACAACGCCCAGATGAGATTCTTCTTCATCAAAACAAGCCCTCTGAGGCCGACATGTACTTGGAGATGGACTCCATCTCTTCTGCCCGGTGGTGGGTTACTACTGTAAGACCACCAGGGATCTTAACCAAATGTTCCGAAGAACTACAGAACAGCGACACAGAGACAACACCCCAGAGGAACCGAATGAGCCGCACTTGAGAATGGTGTCAAACAGACCTTTATTAGTCTGGCCAGACGGCTCCTCGAAGCAATGACTTGGGGAGCGCCAGGAGCCCAGAGTACAAGAGGGTTTTATTCATTTCTAGATGGGGCGGAAGAAAGCAAAATTACAGAAGCGAAATGCGGCGGTTAGAAGAAAGGAACAGAACATATAGTTTGCACAGGATGAGGCTGACATTTCTGTGACAAAGTACAGAGCTGTGGTTAATCTGTAAAGGAATGCCATCTCCGTGACAAAGTGTAGGGCTATGGTTAATCTTTACGGGAATCATCTATCTCTTCTACTTGGAATGTTCACACTTGGTTTTTGTTCCTGACCATTGTCCTGAATATGTGCTGTCGTTTTGATGACTCTGGGCCTTTCCTGCTTTCTCAAGAGGGCGAGCTTAACCTTTAACTAAGATGGCGTCCATGTTGGCGCTTTATGCCAGACACTACAGTTCATCAGGAAAACTGTTAGCAATTTGCAAAACCTCCAAATTCTGCCTCAGGGAGTCTGTGCCTCTTGGCTTGCTCCTAGCTCCTCCTTTGTGACCATGTGATGAGTTTGATAATCACACACTGGGTTGCATAACTCTTATTATTCTGACCACAGTAGCCCAGTGCACAAAAGAGAATCTGTTTGGCATTTTCTGGTTCCAATAAACAGCTTCATCCAAAGAGAGCAACAGATTCCCATGACCCAGTAGTGTGGTCCCCTCCCTCTCCTCCTTGCCAACTGTCCCGCCAGCCCTGCCTGGGGTCCTGCCCCCGCCATAGTAGGGACCACATCCCAGCCACAGAATATTAAAGCAGCAAGGACAAGGGTGCAGCTGAGATCTGGGCAGAAGAAGGGCATGGCCGATGCTAGGAGCAAGTTGGTGGCCAAGCTGGATCTAGAGCCCTCTTGTCTTGGTTCTTGGCCCTGAGCTCTTCCCCAAACCCTAACATAAAATAGCCTCCTTTTCTGAGCTGTGGGGAGATTCTCATGGACTCAGTTGCCCTGTGTCAATAATGACCTGTCAAGACAACAATGAGGCCATATCCTACATGACTATAGCATCATGCGGAGGAGACTTGGAAGTGCCATGTCCTCAAGGTCTCGGGAAGTGAGTAGGGTCCGGTAACCTAATGGATGTGTTCTGTCTCCTGAGCTCTGCCTTCTTCTGCTGAGCACCCAATGATCATCCACAGCATGATTTGTCCCTGGCGTCTTCGTCTCTGGATCTTCAAAACAATTACAGATGCTCAAGAAGGAAGGGTCCTTAAACCAGTTGCCATCTACCCAAGTGACAGGGTGCATGGGAGAGCGTGTGTGTTAGAGACAGACGCCCATCTGGTGTGGCCTCCCATAGCTCATCCTATGGCTGTGTCTGCAGACCCCACTGGGCCTGAAGATCTGGTGGTTACTTGGATAGTGAAGCTGACTAGTTAATAGTTAAGCTGTGTAACTCAAGCTGGGATGTTCATTATGCCACTTGAAATAGTCTATTTGCCAGTCTATGCGGCAGGGCCTACTTAGTAGAAGTAGATGGTAACCACCAGCCATCTGGTGTCCAAAAGCCCAGTCCTGTGGCCATCCCTTTGCCCTGCAGCATGTGCTAATGTGGTACAACCAAAGGTGCCTTTCAGTTTACATCCATGCTCCACTGTCCCAGCCCCAGGCAGCATCTGGGTGCTTAGAATGTGAAACTGGGAGCTGACTGCTCACATAGGTTACAGAGAGAGGGGCCACAGAGACACCTTTGATGTCTGCTACCTCAGTCCCACCTGTTACTGAACTGCATCCAGCTCTAGTGACTGCAATGATCTGCCTCAAAATGGGGAGACGGCGGCTCAGAGAAATGGGGACAGGTCTTGGATCACCCTTCAAGCTACTTTGATTCCTCACCCTGGCTCATACTTGAGCCATGTTCCAGGCCAAGAACCACATGAGCGGAGTCCCTTCTCCATCTCTGGGAAAAGGATCAGTGACTTTTCAGTTACACAAAAGTGAAAAATAAATACCAGATGTTTGAAATCATATTATAACACATCTTCCCAGATCCTAAATGTGCATTCTAAGTGAAAAAAAAAATCAAATTAGAAAATCCACAGGGCAAAAAGATGTTTTGAATGAAAATTCTTCCCCCCTCTCTCTCACACACACACAATATCTCATTGTTTCTTTTTCAGGGAGCAGCTGTGAGGGAAATTGGGGGAGGGGGCAGACACAACATTCCATCCTTGTGTTTTCTGCAGAGCTGAGCTTTCAGGCCAGCCTTCCCGAACCGTAGGGGTGTGGCGTGCTTGACTATCAAAGGCCAATGACCCGAGCGTAGCTTATAAAATAACTTGGGAGAAGCTACTCACAAGCGTCTCAATTGGAATGACTGTGCATGTGGAGACTGCCTTCATCTTGATTTTGAAAAGGTACGTACTGTAGTTTTCATTTTCATTTCATCGGTGACTCTTAAAATAGAGCCCGGCATGGCTTCCCACTGCCCTTTTGCAGCAGCTGTGTGTTACGACTCTCACTGATGGAGGACTTGTACAGCAGCAATACAAACGCAGGCGCATTTTCCCTCACATTTGCAAGGTAGGTGTCACTAGGGCAAATTTTCAGATAAGAAGACAGATCAGGTTATGCTGAGCAACAGGCCTAGGATAAGGCTGAGGCCAGGACTGACTCACCCTAAAGTCTTTGCCCTCCCTGTACCAAAAGAGACAAGGAGAACGTTTCTGTGCCCCGGTACTGCACTAGGTTAACTCTCCAGGAGTGATTCAACTGTTCATGACCGTAAAATCAACCAAAAGCTGGAACTGATTGGGTGAGCAGAATATTGAACACTGTGGCATAATGATATTTTGAAGAATCCAGGCATGGTGCTGCACCCCTGTAAATCCAACTCCAGGGAGATTGAGGCAGCAAGATCACCATAAAGCTCAAGGCCAGCCTGGGCTAGGCTACATCCTGAGTTCAAGGCCAAGCCTGAACTACATAGTGAGACCCTGTCTCAAGAGGACAACAGAAAGAAAGAGAGAAAGATTCTGCTGAAAAGATAGGAGTGTTACTAGATTCTGTGGCTAAATGGTTTTTAAAGGCGCATATTTACCCAAGGAAACATATTTTATATCTTTTATTACATAAAACCACAGTATCCTCTTCTGTAATTCCTTGAGGTCCACAGTGATACCCAGGTGCTCTTGAGAGACCGGGACTGAAATTTACAAGGCTTCACTACTGACTAGGAAGTGACCTGGGCAAATCAACCTCAGGGGGGGCCAAGGAGGGTGGCAGTGCAGGTGGCATGCGGGTGGCTTCCAGGTGGGACACTGGAATTCAGCACGGAGCACCAGGCTGCCCACGGAGAGGCTCAGAGCAGGAGCCGAGGGTCATCCGAAGTCAGCACGTGGCAAGGGCGGATGCTCTGCAGCCTTAGAATTATTCTTAAATCCCCTGATACTCCAGGTAGTGCATGTTTTATCCAAGGCCACGCACAGGGTGGATAACACACTCAGTGAAGTCAGCTGAATCAGAATAGAAGGAGTGTGGACAGCACTCATGGAACCAGCCTTCCACTTGCAAGGAGTTTTAACCCCAGCAACTAGGAGTCATCCTTGGAAGAGAAGCAACCAAGAAGGGTTAACCTTGTCCTTGAAAGCCTCCTACTAAGCAAAAGAGCATGTTTCAGCCAACCGAAAAATTTTTGTAATAAGACATCTGCCAGAGTGAGACGTGGAACTGACTTTTGTAGTCAGTGTTTAGTGAAAGGTGCAAGGTAGGGGGAGGCAGGAGGAACCGAGTACAGAGAGCGAGAGATGGGCCCAGGCCCAGTAATGCCTCATTCTGGGCCTCAGTTTCCCCATCTGCCTACCTGTGAGCATGGGGAATCAATGGGAGATGTCTTATAAGGTCCTGTCTATTCATGGGACCCTGTAGAATGTCCATCCCCTGTGCCATCTTTTGGGGTCTAGTGCTCTGGGCAAGCTCTAGGTTGGGACTACTTGGGCAGGGCTCCTGGAGTTCCAAGAATTTTATCTTGAAAATGAATGCAAAGTGTTGTGGGCTTGGGCTGGATTTCTACAACCTTCTCCTCTGGGAGGTTAAGGGACAGATGTTGACACAGTGGTAAAAGCTGGTGGGAAATGGATCTCTGGAGACTAAGGAAGATGGTCGTGTCCTAGGTGAGCCCAAAAGGGCCCTCAGGGCCGACCCCAGTCCCCCGCCAGCATTCTCTCCTTACATAACTGTTCCCATGAAATCTAGGCAACAAAACCTCTAAGAAAAGCTATTGATTATTCAAGTCATTTGGAGGCTTGAGGCTCATAATAAAGTGGTTATAATTATTCCTGTTATGACACATCCTTTTAAATGCTCAGATCTGAGAACATTTTGCTTGCTTTGACTCAGCCCCCTTCATCACAGGGAGAGAGGCTGAGAGCTGGAAATAGCTCGCGTGCAGCAACAGGCAGGAGTCACAAGGAAGGGAACAGGCCGAAAGCAACTCAGAGAAGGTGACAGGGAGCGACAAAGGACAGCCTATCTGCACAGCTGGCAGCAAGCCACTGCCCCCCGCCGAGGAGCCCCCAGGAGAAATGCATCTCACACACTTCCCCAACAGCTGACTGTTCTTCTGTGGTTAAATGTACTTCATCTATGAAAAAACCCTTGATATAATACCCTCAAAGATACCTTCAATGTAATATTTTTTGAAATTCAGAACCAGACACGATGGTGGAGGCATTTAGGAGGCTGACGCAGGAGGATCACAAGTTTGAGTCCCACTTGGGCAAGTGTCTCAAAATAAAAACTGAAAAGAGCTGGGGATGGTAGCCCAGTGATAGAGGACCCCCACACACACACAGACTCACACCACACTGGATTCATTCTCCTATATGCGGGAAGGAAGGGATTCAGAAAATAGCACCCAGTTTCTGCTTTTCATAATAACAATAATTAGCATTCATAGAGCATGTCCCCTGTTGTCACATGCTGCCCTGAGTCCCAGCTGTACATTATCACATTTAATCCTCATCCACATTCATGAGATGGACGTGATTATTATTCCTATTTTATACATAAAGGAACTCAGGCACAACTTGCTCATAGTTGTACCTGGTACATGGCAGAGGCAGAATTTGAACCCGGTCGGGGTAACCCTGGGGTCCCGGGCACACTGCCCTGTTAAGGTTTCTAGGCCACATCCTTGGGTTGGTGGCACAGCGCAGCAAGATGGGGCAGGAGCGGGGTGTGGGACATTTAATGTTGAGCTTGGTTTGGTTTTGGTTGTGGCTTTCATAGCTTGCTGGCAGGCTCAGTCTCCTCCTTTTACCTATCTTGCCCAGACATGGACATGCACACGCACACGTATACACGCGCACGCACACATACTGTTTCTGTTCATTTAAGAAGAACCAACTGATCTACACTTCCGGGTCCTAGGGGTGACTCGTGGCGGTGTCAGGTGAGGACAAAGGCTCACACAGCGGGGACAGACAGATAGGGGTCCCCTGGAGGGTGCGGGCTCCTGACTCAGGATGCAGAAACTTTCTCCATCGTTGTGTCATTGTGCATCTTCTGGAGGCTCCAGCTCTTCGTTCCCCCAACTCCAGGCTCCTTCTGCAGCTGCCCAGCCCCAGGATGGCGACGATGCTCTTGCTGCTCTCCACGCTGGCAGGCCTTGTTGCCCAGGCCGAGGGACAAGCATTCCACTTGGGGAAGTGCCCCACCCCTCCAGTGCAGGAGAATTTTGAGGTGAACAAGGTATGGTAAAGGCTAACCTCCCACATGTTTCCTGTGTCTTATTCAAATATGCATCCACTGCCATTCTGTTTTTTTGCTGTTAGTTTGTTTGTTTGCTTTTGAAATAGGGCCTCGCTATGTATTTCAAGCTGTCCTGGAACCATGGGTAGCCCTGGCAGGTCTCAAACTTGCATCAGTCGTCCTGCCTCGGCCTCCCTAGTTCTGGGATTACAGGTGGGCACCACCACCCCAGGCTCTGGACTCCATTTCATTATCCAACTTTAATCTTCATGGCAAACATTGGGGAAGATGCCTATCTTCCATTGGGTTTCCCCAAAGCAGATTCTGAGGCCAAGACAGGGTAGGAAGAGGGACAGGCAGTTTTGGGCTGATGATTCCAGAAACACTAGGGGCTGTGGGAAACAGAGTCTCAGAAGGCAGAGAAGCTCAGTTGAAAGCTTTGTTTACACTTACTAGCCATTTGTGCACCTCCTGTGTATATCTTCCATTTAAGTTTATTTTATGTCACCATTTATTTGCCAAGGTGACAGCCCATTGGTTAAATTTTTTCTACATGATTCTAGAAGGAATTCCAGGAAAACAAGGCAAAGGTTTACCCATTTATAAATTGGTTTATTTATATTTTCATTACTAAGATATGAGTGCTTCCTGCATTCTAACTACAAGTCCCTTATCAGATATGTGATTTAGGAATATTTTCTGTGGAATTTTTCACTTTATTGACTTGCCCTTCGAAACACAAAATTCTTTTTTGGGGGGGTACTTGCTATTAAACTCAGGATCTTGCACTTTCGAGGCAGGCAGGGTGCCACTGAACTAAATTCCCAGCCCTAACACAAAATTCTTAACATAACCAGACATCATGATATATGCTTGTAATCCCAGCTACTTGAGAGGCTGAGGCAGGAAGATCAAAAGTTCAAGGCTGGGCCAGGGATTTAGCTCAGAGGTTCCACCACCTGCCTCGAAAGTGCAAGGTCCTGAGTTTGATCTCCAGTACCAAAAAAAAAATTCAAGGCCAATCTGGGCAATTTAGCAAGACCTTGTCTCACAAAAGCAAAACAAAAAGGGATGGGGATATAGTTCAATGGTAGAGTGCTTTCCCTACATTCATGAAGCCCTGGGTTCAATCCTCAATCACACACATGCACATGTGCGCGCGCACACACACACACACACACACACACAGTGTTTTCCCCATTGATGAAATCTAATTCATCTTCTTTTTTCTTTGGTTGCTTGTGCTTCTGGTGTCATACCAAAAAGTCACCATCTAATCCAACATCACAAAAATTTATTCATATATTTTGAAGAGTTTTATAGCTTGTATTTTTACATTTAAGTCTTTTATCCATTTTAAAAATTTGTATACTGTGTGATTCGAGGATCCAACTTCTTTCTTTTACATACGCATCTCCTGTTGTCCCAGCTCCATTTATTGAAAAAGCCATTATTTCCCCCTGAATAATTTTAATATCCTTATTCAAATCAGTTGGCCATGTATGTGAGGGTTTACTTCTAGGCTCTCAATTGTATTCTATTGATCTGTATTCCACACTTACGCTGATATCAGACAGTCTTGATTACTGTAGTACTGTAATAAGTTTTGAAGTCAGAATAAATGAGTCTTCCAAGTTTATTCTATTTTGTGTCCCTTGCACTTCCACATAAATTTTAGTGTCATCTTATGAATTTCTGCAGAGAAGCCAGTTGCAATTTTTTTTTGGGGGGGGTTGCCATAGGGTCTCACTATGTAGTTGAGACTGAACTGGAACTCACTATGTAGCCCAGGCTGGTCTCAAACACACAGCGATCCTCCTGCCTCAGCCTCCCAAGTGCTGGGATTACAGACGTGCGCCACCACACCTGGCTTTCCAGTTGCAATTTTGATAGAAGGTATATTAACCTGAGGAACAATTTGGAAGAAGATTACAGACGCGCCACCACACCTGGCTTTCCAGTTGCAATTTTGATAGAAGGTATATTAACCTGAGGAACAATTTGGAAGAATATTGCCTTCTTAACAATAATGCCTTCCCATTCATGAACATAGGCTACTTTTCCATTCACTTAAGTCTTCTTTAATTGATTTCAACAACATTATAGAGCTTTTCAGGATATAAGTTTTACATTTCTTTTGTTAAATTTAGTCATAAATATTTTATTCTTTTGATGCTATTGTAAATGGATCCCTCCTCCTCCGGGTAGTGGGGATTGAATTCAGGACCTTGAACTTGCTAGGCAAATAAATAGGTTTTTTAAATTCCATTTGCAGATTGTTCACTGCCAGTATATAAATACATGTGGTTTTCATACACTGATGCTAATCTTGCCAAATTTATGAGGTCTAATCAGGCTGTTTTTTTTTAGATACCTTAGCATTTTTCTACATGCAAGGATATTACATCTATAAGTAGAGATAGCTGTGCTCCCTCCTTTCTAGGATTCTTTTTAAACTTTGAATTTATCTTATATAGATAAACTATGACCCAAAGATTAAGAGGGCTTCACAGCAATCCTATGAGAACAGGAAAAAACATAACAAGAAACTCAGCCTCTCATTTCAGAATTTCCTCTCTTCTGGCAAATCATACTTCCTTGGTTTTAACGGTGGAGCCCGAAAGTCATTTGAACAAGAAAAGAACCGATTTCAAATCTACTACAAAACAGAGCTCTTTCTGAGGATGTGTGGAGAAAAAGTTGCCTTACCGAAGGCAACTTAAATGAAGGTTAAATTCAGGGGTCTTAAATGAAAGTGATGTTTTAACAGCCGCGAAGGAAAGTCATGGCCATGAATGTGAGCCCGGTTCAGCCCTGAGCCGTATGACTGGAGCGACACTGCCCCCTGTTCGCGGCTTGCTCTCGGCTCATGTTCTGACTGCAAGTGCGCGTGTCTCTTTGGCCTTGTTCTGTTGAGTGATTCATTTCTAAATTTCTAAAATAATTTCAGTTAAGATTTCCGAATAGATATACACTCATAATTCAAAATTCTAAAAATGCCAAAGAGGCCTGGAGGGGTAGCCTGCTTACCTGGCATGCATGAGGCCCTGGGTTCCATTCCCAGCACTGCAAAATAAAATCATAAAATAAACACTGGAAGTACAAAAGAGCATACAAGGACAAGTTCCCCTTCCAGAGTTGCATGCTTCAGTTGCCCTCCCAGGGACCAACCTATTAAAAACAATGTACCGTATGTCTTTTTGGAGATGATGCATACATATACAGACAAATACATATTCAATGGTGGTGGATAGAATAAGGTTCCCACAGTGTCCATGCTTGAATCCCTGAAGCCTGTGACTATGTTACTTTATATGGAAAAAGAGATTTTGCAGAAGTGACTAATGGGTCTCGAGAGGTCCAGATTAGCCTGGGTATCCACAGATGGACCGATCTACTCACCTAAGTCCTTAGACGCAGAGAACCCTTCTGAGCTACAGTAGAGAGGTTTGATAAAGGGATAAATTGGAGAGATGCAATATGAGGAGAGTCTGAACTGCTTTTGTAGACTTTAAAAGAGAAGGAAAGGGGTCCCCAGCCAAGGAATGACTTGGAAGAGGCCAGGAAACTGATTCTGTCTGAGGTCTCCAGAAAGGAACAGAGCCAATATCTCAGCATCAGTCCAGTGAGACTTGGGCCAGACTTCTGGCTTACGAAAGTAAAGATAATAAACTTGTGCTGTTTCAAGCTTGCAGTGATTTATTATGTAATATGGTTGTCATTTGGCAGTAGCCAAAAGCCAATCCAATAAGCTTTCCCCTCATTTTTAGACCAAAGGTGGCCTCATAGGGTTACTATTCTGTACCTGGCCCTTTTTTTAATTGTATCTTTAAAGTAATTGTATATCACACTTTTTAGAATAGATGGTAATGGGCTGGCGATTTAGCTCAGTGGTGCCATCTCCTGCCTCGCAAGTGCAAGGACCCGAGTTTGATCCCTGGTACTAGAAAAAAAGAAAAGAAAAGAAAGATGGCAAAATTCCATTGAGTGAATGTACCACCTTTTATGTGAAGCTCAGTTAGACTGTTTCCTGTCTTTTACTGTTACAAACAGTATTGCAATGAATGGCCTCACCCATGGATCACTGTTTCTATCAGGAGAATCCATTGTCAGAAGTGAAGCTGCTAGGCCCACAGAGCACATGCATTTTTGGTGTTGTATATTTTGCCAAACTGCCCGCACAGAGGTTGTAACTTGGTACAGTGTGTGTGGCGATGCAAAGGTGTCTGTCCACTCCCTTCATGGGTACAGTGGAAGCTTCTTAAAGTAGACTCGGTGCACTCAAAGATAAAACTCCAGCCTGAGAGCCTGCTGAAGGCTTTTGTGACCAACTCCCTGCTTGGGGTCACAGGAGGAAAGTTCCAGCAAGCCCGATCTCCTAGCACTCCTATCTGATTTTGCTCCAAATTCAAGGAGTCCTTGTAGGCTCACAAAATGTTTGCAATAAAAGATACAGTGGACCCTCAAGTTATGACCAGCCTGACATACAAACAACTTGGTTTGGACCACAATTTTAGTTTTAACATACAAACAAAATTGTGAGTCATGACACAAATGCCAGACGCCTGTGCTTCTAGATGGTCTCAGATATAGATTTAACCCCTAAAGAGTTCTGGAAGGAACATTAAAACATCCCTGCCTGTGCAGGGTTGAGAAATCCTGAGCCAATGTCTCTCTAAGGACACTGAGATCTTCCTGTGTACGGGAGAGAGATTTTGAAGGCTGTGTAGCAAAGCCTGAGTCTTCAACTGACCAACTTGAGTTACAACCAGCTCTTGGGAATTAATTGGGTCTGTAAGTCAAGGGTCCACTGTACTTTACATCATCCAGACAAATCTCTTCCTTTCTGGAGTCTAGAATTTCACAAGATTTAGGCTGAACAGGACTCTAAGAAAGTGTCCAAGTAAGGCGCCCTTTAGGAAGAGAATGCAGCATTCAGCCAGTGCCGACACCTCCTATTCACGAATGCTCACTGGAATCAGTGAGGTGCTGGGTTGCCGCTGGGAACAGTGTGGCCCATTCTGCCTGGTTTCCCCAGGAAAGGCCTCTGCTTCTGAAAGACACAATGGGGAAGAGTTTTCAGGTCCCCAGAGAGCCATAGGGTTTTACTCTTTGATTGTTGTCTCGCAGTATCTTGGAAGATGGTACGAAATTGAGAAGATCCCGGCGAGCTTTGAGAAAGGAAACTGTAACCAGGCCAATTACTCACTAAAAGGAAACGGACACATCAAAGTGTTAAAGCAGGAGTTGAGGTGAGCGACCGTGCCATCCTGAGGCTGGCTGCAGCGCTGTCCTGGAGCGACTGGGTGCCCATGAGGTCAGAGTTGGGGAGGACGTGGCTGTCACCAGGGCCAGGCAGGCACAGTTAGGACCAGAAAGCACTTATTTATTTAGGACAAGAAAGTATTCATTCATTCATTTCTTTACCACTTGCTAGGCATCTCCTCCTGCCTGGCAGACCCTAGCAGAGGCACCAGGGACCCACAGAGCTCCTACTCTCGCTGCAAATCAGTCTCTGTTAGCAAAGGACCTTCGGACCACTTTGTCTAGTCTCCAATCAGAGAGAAGCTATTCTGTCCACTGCCTCACAGAGGGCAACAGCTTATCCCGTCTCCAGGAAGCTTTGCCTACTAGGAAACTCTTTTTTCCTAAATAAGAATCAAATGCCTGTAATACATATGCACACCCTAAGTTGTGTAAACAGACACCCTACGGAAGTAAACATTTCTATCATGGAGGGCTTCTCACACTGATACGTGATGCAAAGATTTACATTTTGGAAAGCAAACATGAATTTAGTGTGCCCCAGAGAAAAATTTTTCTCCCCATCCTCCATCAACAAAGACAACAGCACCACCAAACATATTCAAGCATTTCCTATGTGCCAGGAATTATTCTCTGTGTGTATATACATGTAACATGTGGGTATATATGTGTCTGTATTAATTTTTGCACAGAAATATGTATTCATTTAATCCCCATAACAGCCCCGAAATAGGTGCTATGATAACCCTCATTTTTATGAATGAAAACTTTAGGTACAGAAAGGTAACTTGTCCAATGTTCACACAGTTGGTAAGTGATGAAACGGGGATTCGAACCCAGGAAAAATAAAATAGGGAAGAGATCAGAACATAGATTAAAAAAAAAAAAGGCTGGGGCCAGGTATCTGGCCTGCTTCTAGAGCACAAGGTCCTAAGTTTGACGCCCAGTACCTAAAAACAAACAAACAAACAAACAAAAAGGCTGGTAATGCAAGACTGTCCTTCTGTCCTCTATAGGATCTGAGAAATTCCTGGGTTCACAGAGGCTTTCTGTGGCCGTCCCATCACCCACTGACTTCTTGTAAGCCAGAACTCCCCAGCCCAGAATAAGCCAGAAGCATAAAGTAGGACTCTTAAGGGAATCAAAGAGAGATCCAAATTTCAGAGCCTCGGAGAGGGCTACGGGGTTTAAGATAACCAGAAGGCCTCACGGGAATTTTATAGGATGGGCAATAACCAGCTGTCTGTCTGTCACTGTAATGAAATTCCTAGGCCGAGTAAGAAAAAAGAAAAAAGGTTATTTGGGCTCATGGTTCTGGAGGTTCCCACTGAAGAGTGATGCTTTTGGGGGCCTCTGATGAAGGTAGCCTCATGGTGGGATTGTGTAGTGGAGAAAACCATCCATTCAGGAGCCAGGAAGTAGAAAAGAGACAGGAAGAGGCCAGGCACCCATGCTGTCCTTCAAGGGCACACTTGCAGTGACCTAAGGATGTCCTGCCAGGCCCCTGCTACTAAGGTTCTCCCTTCCCAATAACATCACCCTGGAGACCGAGCCTTTAACCTGCAGAACTTAGGGAACAACTATCCAAACCACAGCGGGCCCCAAAGTTTCAATGACCTCATTCTGAATATTTTGTCCCATTCTAAGACCAGAGTCAACAATCTAGACCTCAAACCCACGAGGATGCCCACTTCTCCTTTGGAGTTGACCCTCCTTAACTGTATGCTGGGTATTGGGTTGCTCTGCCTCCAGGGTTACACCCATTTGAGACACAGAGCACATGAACAAAAGATGGTTAATTCCGGAAAACGGTACCATTTCTCCCTCCCGAGAGGGGTGCAGAATAAGCAGAGGACAGGGCAGGGGATTGGAGCAACAGAAGGCTCAGCCGGTGTCAGAGAGCTTGCGCGCCAAAACAGCTGGAGCAGCATGGGAAGACAAAGAAGAGCTCGGGATCTGATTAGAGTTCAGCTCCTGGGTTCTAGTTCCGGTTCTGCTATTTAGTGTGTGATTGCAGGTTAGTTAGGATCGTTCTCTAGGCAATAATAAAGGGATTATTCCCATGGCACAGGTTAAGCATTAAATGAAGTAACACACATAAAGCTCTTAAAACACCACTGGGTGTGTAGTAATCATTTAACAAATACAACTTGGGCCAGGGATTTAGCTCAGCGACACAGTGCCTGCCTGGCAAATGCAAGGTCCTGAGTTTGATCCCTGGTACAAAAAAACAAAAAATGACTTTCCATGGTTACCTGCTGCCACCCATAAAAATATGAATGGATTTCCCCATAAACAGGTTATGAGTTATGATCAGAGCCTGGCGTTTTGAAAACTAGGCTAGAACAAAACACAAGTGATGGTGGAGGGGGATTCGTTGGAAGAGCCTAGTTTGATGCTTTGTATGCAGATAGAAACAGATGGTGTCCCCAGCTGTCTGAGTGCCAGGTGAGAGAGCAGGGCACTGTCAGCAGCCCTACATGGTGACAAGGAGACAATGCACTTGGGAGTATCACAGTACATTTCCCGGCCTCCCTGGCCTGTCGCTTATTATCTTGTTTCTCGTACATCCAACACCACTAACCAGAACACTAACCTACAGACTTCTGTACACACATGATCACTCTAATGTTACTCTGCCTGCCCTCTTAAGGACCGGGTGACCAGCAGCTCCTCTGTAGGGTCTAGCCTAGAAGGGGCACCCTAAAGCCTGAGCACCCTCCCTTCTCTGTCCCTGGCTTCATAGGGTTGTTGGGTGCTAGCCAGAAATGAGCCAGATCCCTTCAAAAGGGTGAAGGCATTTCATTCCACCTAAGACCACCATTGAGAATATTGTTAAGCAAGAAATGACACTGCCAACTATACACGGCTGGTGGCGTTTCTTCACATTTAATGTCGCTGAGATATGGGCTCACCTGGGAATCACTGAGGCAGGGTCAACGTGCCCTGGCTGCCTGCTTTTAGCTGGGCTATGTCAAACCTCAAATGGCTACTGTCCTGGAAAGGCCCTTTATGAGACAGATGATGTTACATGGTGCCCTGAGGCCCAGAGAGGGAAAAGTTTTCGGCACTCCTGACTCCTGCCCTGTTTCGCATTATTTTCAGTGATCAGATTCCCCTTCATTTGTTCCTTTGTCTTCTTTGTGTGTTGCTTTGTTCTGCTTGGTTTTTCTTTTGCTTTTACTTCCTCTCTTTTGGAGCCTGGGAGTACAACATACTCTTTCAGGACACTGCAGACAGTCCAAAAAAGCCAGTGTTGAAGTACAAGGGCCTCACAGGCCTCCAATCCCACAGCATTCTAATGTCACTTCTCCTCACTCCATGGCTGTCTTCCTCCCCTTGGTCTCAGTCACAGAGGAAAGGGCAGGAAATGGGACCAGGGTCAAGCACCAGAAATCTCAACGTTGGCCACCGCTATCCTTATTGGCCCAAATCTTGCTTTTCACTGAGTTTTTGTTTTCAGTGAGTTGTGTCTTTGTTTTGCTTTTTACTCATTACAGACCTGATGGAACCGTGAATCAGATCGAAGGTGAAGCGTCATCACAGAGCAACATCACAGAGTCCGCCAAACTAGAAGTTAAGTTTTTCCAGCGTAAGTGGCCACTTCCCTCAGTGGGTTTCGGGGATGGAAGGTGAGGGCCCTGGGGTACCACCGTCACATGTGAGTGCCATTTGTAAGGACTTACTACCCAGTTGTTGAGGACCCACTGTGTGCCAGGCACTGGGCTGGGCACTGAGAAGCAACAATAGGCAGGCCAGGGCTGGCCTTGTCCTTGTGGAATGTGTGTTCCATGTGAGTACTGACCGGCAGCCAGATTTCCTGTAAACTATCATCGGTGTTCAGGGGTGATGCCAAAAACATTCAGGGCAGGAGCAGTAAGAGATTCAATCCAGTCTTATTTCTTCCAGGGGAAACTGAGGCACTTCTCCCCACCAAAATGAGTAGCTTTATCAAAACATCTAGCTTGAGGGCAAGAGATGACGAGAGCGAAGGCCAGTTGAAGACCTGCTTCTGCCATTTTCTAGTCGCACTGTTGGGACTCTGAGAAATATTTCATCAGGCATCTGCCCTCTGAGTTCTGAAGTACATGGAGAATGGGTACAGCAGGGGAGGAAAGCATCCAATGCCAATTTTTCAGCTGACATAGACACACTGGAGAATTTGGCTCAAGCCTGTGAGGCTTTCTAATATTGAGAGCACCCCGAGAACCCCTCTCTCCACTGCAGAGGAGACACAAGTCACCAGTTGCAAGAGAAATCACCCCCAGCATCCTCATCTTTTCTGTCTTCCCTCCCCCTGGAATCCCTAGTGTGGGCCTGGGAAGAAGTTCTTGTTTATAAACAAAGAAAGGAAAGTGGGAGGAGAAAACAACTTCCCACACACGTGACTGTGAGCAAATACCATCCCATGTACAAACCCGCGGTGACCACTGAGTGTGGCAAAGATAAACTCAGTAGGACACGTCCATGAACCGTTAAGGGCTGTCACAGCAGTGGTTCTTGTCACTCTTACTGATGGAAGTTGACACGTAGGCCCTGAACCAATTAGGGGCAGATTTTCGCATGACAAGGATGTAAAAGGGATGGAGGATGGGAGTGAAGGTTAAATACTTTCTGCTCAGTCCTCAGAAGGAAGCCTTTGGCAAGAGCTGCTTGCTGGGGAAGCTGAGTGGGGAGAGATTTCTGAGGGCTCGGATGTTGGCACTGGGCCTTGTAGGCTGTACAGGAGATGGTCGGAAAGCACAGATGTTCCAGGCAGAGGGGATGGCATGGGAAATGGCTGGATAAGCAGCCTAGAGCAGGGGAGAGCATGCGGGACTCAGGACAGGGCTAAAGAGGCCCTTGAATGCCAGGGCAGAGAGTTTGGATTGCAACAGTCTGGACACAGGAGACTGTTAAAGGCGCAGAGCCCTTGGTCCAGCAGGGAGCTCACAGAGCAGCTGAACCTCACAGAGAGCAGGGGTCCAATGAAGAGACTCTCTCCGGGAGAAGCAGGCAGGGCACCAACAGTGCTGGGAAGGCAGGAATCACTCTCGCTTCAGGCTCCCACCTGGCTTCTTCCCAGCCTCCTCCTGGTTTATAAACAAAGTCAGAAGTAGGAACGGAGCTTGCTGGCCGGTCCTCTGGCCGGTCTTCTTGTACTGGGGCATAAACACCCAGCCACACACTGACCAGTCACACCCCACCTTCTCTATCCTCAGGTCCTTGGATCTGTCACAAGTACTCAGCTCTGGATTGAACTTGGCAGACAGGAGTTATTTTTGAGTGGGGCAAAGAGGATGCTTAGAACCTGGGAAAGCAAATGACCTTTGACCTCATTGGAGTCCAAACTTTCCTGCTTATGGGGCACCACTTGGGGTATCTTCCACAGCTGGGCTGTTTTCCTTAGCTTGGACCTTGACTGGGGCGGAAGTCTCTAGATCCAGATGGAGAGGCTAAATCCTCCACCTCTCCTCTTACAGACTTCCTTAATCCTGGGCTTCCAATACTTTCAGATGTCAATCATTGAATCCGAAAAGGCACTTTGGGAGGAAAAGCCTGTATCCCCTACCTATGTGGCTCTCCACATTCTTAAGAGTGGAAGGATTTGCACCAAGCATGGAGAAAGGAAAAACAAAACATCAGCCTTTGCCTTCTGCTTAGGCACAAGGTTGTTCTAGACAATCTTGGGTGTTAGGGACTCAGAAAGCCTGGGGTCCCAGCTTTACACTCTCCACGTGGCTAAGTGTTCTCTCTCCACACACTACATGGATTTGTGTGAGGGCACCCTATAAGTCCTGGGGTCCCACTTGAACACCGTGGTTCCCCACCACCACCTGCTACCAAGGAGGAGAGCATTATCAATGGTCCTAACTCTGACGGTACCCTAGACTCACCATGGAGCTTTTAAAAGTATTGTCCCATGCAGGTCTGAATGCAGGGAAGGGTGGGAAGGGTGGACTTTTCATCTTTCAAAGCCCCCATATGATTTCCATGGAAACCAGTTAAAAACCACCAGCCTCCTGTAATCCCAGCACTTTTGGAGGCTGAGGCAGGAGAGTCAAGAGTTCAAAGCCAGGCTGAATAAATTAGCAAGACTTTGTCTCAAAAACGTTTTTTAAATATGGAAAAGGGTTTGAGGTATATCTTAGTGTGAGGCCCTGGGTTCAGTCCCCACTTCTTCAAAAAAGAACCATGACCCCAGAGTCCCAGAGACTCATCTCTCCTGCTCTGGTCCCTCCTCATGCTGCCTTCCTCTGGTTCTCAGTGATGCCATCAGCACCATACTGGGTCCTGGCCACCGACTATGACAACTATGCCCTCGTCTACTCCTGTACCAACATCATCTGGCTTTTCCACGTCGATTTCGTTTGGATCTTGGGAAGAAACCATTATCTCCCTTCAGAAACAGTGAACTACCTAAAAGATATCCTGACTTCGAACAGCATTGACGTCGAGAAAATGGCCGTCACAGACCAGGTGAATTGCCCCGACTTCCTGTAGTAGGCTCTGGAGGGCGGTGGCAGCCATACTCTGTCACGTCTGCTTTGCTTCCCCCACCCCACCTGCACCTCATAAAAACACAACACCACCCATGACAACAGCTATACACCCCGGTGGGTAAGTTTGCAGAAGCCAGTGGAGGGGAACTTGGGGAAAGTTGTCCAAACACTTAGTCTCTGCTCACCCTGCTGCCTTGACACCCGTAATAAATGTGTTGCTGACCCTCTGTGGCTCAGTGGATTCTGAACCAAGGTGCTGATTATGTTAGCTTTCTATCACTCTGACAAAATACCTGCGGTAAATAACTTGAAAGGAGGGACAGTTTAAACTAGGCCCCCACTCCTATAAGTTCCCGCCACCTCCCAACAGCCCATTAAGCTGTGAAAGCATCAATCCATTAGTTTATTGATGAAGTCAGCACCTTCATGACCCAAACATCCCCAAATGCCTCACTTCTAGACACTTCTGTACTGGGGACCAACCGTTCAGCACAAAGACTTTTGGGGGACATTTCAGATCAAAGCCATAACAATTACAGATTTTTTTTTTTTATTAGCAGTGTGTGTTTAGACATCCTTAAACAGTCACATCAAAGTTAAGCTCAGAACTGTCCAGATTGAAAGGTCACACTCCTGTTCTGGAAGGGGAAGCTGAGGGCAAAGGCGCACTCTGGTGACCTGAATTCAGGTGTCCCCTTCTGCAGGAGGTGCTCCTCCAAGGGTGGGGGCTGGGGGCTCTGAGTTTGCCACGCAATCCCCTGGGAGTTTTCACTGTCATCAGGAAATCCTAAGGCAGGCTGAAGAGCAACCATCCTGGGGTCTGTGCAAAGAGGGGAGGATCTGTGAGGGGGAAGATCCTAGGGACTGAGCTAAATCCCTGGCACTAGGGATTGTTTCGAAGGATTACTTTTGTGCGTGTCTTTCTTCAATTGCTATTTACTGAGGCCCAGCTGCACTCCAGGCTCCCAGTCCTCCCGTAGGAGCTTACAGTCTAGCGAGGGAGACAAGCAAGAAGTCTTTAGAGCCCAAGGTGAGGACGGCGAAGGCAGAGGGCTGAGGAGGAGCCGCCCCCAGACACAGGCATCCAAGGTTGCGTGGTCTCTCCTGAGGTGTCTCACTTCCCTGCTCCACACCACCTTCAGCTGAGGGTTTATACCTTGTGACTTTGCAAATCAGGATAATTCCCTCAGAACTGTCACCCTCCAATTTCATGTAGCTCACGAAAATTTTATAATCCACTAATGTTGGGGGAAATGAATAGAAAATTAAGCCCTTTGATTAAATTGTTTGCTTTTTTAAACACATGAACATAAAATATTATTTTCCTTGAATATTTGAGACTTGTTGACGCTTTATGTTAAAGGTCACAAAAAAGATCCTAATACATATAATTTTTGTTTAAATAAATATGGACTCAAAACATAACTTCCAACTTGAAGGCCCAAAAGGCTGAAAGCCATGGGGCAAAAAGGGGAGGAGAAGGAGGAAGAGAAGGAGGAGGAGGAGGAGGAGGAGGAAGAAAGTGGCTAAGAGCCTCTCACAGGTTTGCTCTCTGCTTTACCCCGCCGCCACTCACTGGGTGGGCACTTGGCTTCTCTTATAAAGCAGTTATTCCTTATGTTAAGCTGCCATCTGTCTTTTACCTCATTGCACAAAATAAGTTGGGATTTCATTCCTGGTAGCTGCCTGGTGACTGTGCTTTGCACTTCTTCAGGGTCTCGCCCAACACACCGACTTGGTTATTTCGTGTGAATGAGTTACTGAATGGGTGGGCACATGTGTGGGCTTGAGCTTTTCAGTAAGAAGTGAAAGGAAACTCTGAAGCAGATATCAGGGGTAACTAAGCCTGAGAAAAATGTTGGAGACTCCAGAGGGCAGCATGTGGGTACCAAGTATCTAGAGGAAATATGGGGAATGGGGAAAGACAACAAAAAAAAATCCAGAAGGGGGAGGAAAAGCAGGGAAGGGGGAAGGAACGAGCAAAAGGCAGGCAATAGTTCATAATAAATCCGCACACACCCACTGTCTGTCCTAACAATCATCGGGTCTCCAATCTTAGATCAGCTCTCACCCTCAGCTGTTCATAGGGTTTCAAAACAAGTCCTGGATATGACATCCTATTACTTAGCCCAGAGCTGCCTAAGTATATGTCTCTAGCAAATATAGGCATTTTTTAAAAAACGCATGTCTTACATCTTTCCTTAAACTGTTCAGAGGATGTAATCTCTATGTAAGTTAAAAAATATCTTACACAGGACCAGGGATTTAGCTCAGTGGCACCGTGCCTGCCTTGTAAGCCCACAGTCCTGAGTTCGGTCCCTGGTACCAAACAAACAAACAAACAAACAATCTTACACAATCTAGATAGAAAGGAATATGTGCAAAAATATCCATCATAGGTTTTTAGGTAGTAACCCCAACTGAAAGAAGAGAAACTAAAACTAGCAGCAGAGGAATCAGAGAAATGGGATCATTAATCACGGAACTTGATGTCATGTCATGCACTCATTAAAAGGGAAGGCATGAAGCTGGGGGTGCACATCTGTAATTCCAGCCCTCGGGAGGCTGAGGCAGGAAGATCGCTGCCGAGTTTGAAGCTAGCCTGGGCTGCACAAGAGCTGGTGCCTGCTCACCCATGCTCACTGCTAGGGAAGCCTCTGTTAGGAGACTTTGCTACCCTGCAGAGCTCGAATTGGGACCATGTGTTTCTGTAGGCTGACCAGAGAGCACTGTAAGCCTTGTCTATCCCAGTATGATTTTGCATCTGCTAGAGATGTGTAATCATGGGTTAATGAGGCCCAGTAACCATGGCTACCCCACTAACTCCCATCATTCCTCACCCCTGCTCCTGAGAGGCAACTGCCACTCCCTGTACTTTCCCAGGCCTTGTCCTTGGCAGGCAGCCACAACTCCTTTTCACTGAACTGCTCCCCTTCAAAGTCCCTTTTTGCCTATTTCCTTTCACAGCCCCACTTTACGTTCATGACCCCATAAAAGACCTTATAGCTGGGTTGGGGATTTAGCTCAGTGGCATTGCACCTGCCTCGAAAGCACAAGATCCTGAGTTCAACCCCCAATACCAAAAAAAAAAAAAAAAAAGACCTTATAGCTTGTACAATAGTCACTGTTCTGGTCTCAGTGCCAGGGCAGTCCCACCCAAGTGTGTTCTGAAATGAACTTATCCGGTTGAGCTTGCACCTTTGTTTTTTCCTCCTCTTTTCCTAACAGTTTCTGCTTCCCCACCCACCCCACTAGACCAGGACAGGTCCACCCGAGCACACACAACACTAGCGACAGCCAGTCCACAAGCTGAACAAAAACTTTTGGCTTTTGTGGGCTGACTAGGTAGAAAAGATAAACTGGAACCATCAGATCAGGGTGCAACTTTAAGAATAATAATCGAAAGGTCCCGTATTGGTCAGCCTTTGTTGCTGTGACCAAATACCTGATATTCACAACTTAAAAGGAACCCACAGTTTCAAAGGTGGGCTCCATGGTGGGCTGAATCCAAGGCAGAAACATCATTGTGGAAGGGCTTGGCGACCCTGCTCACTTCATGGCAGCCAAAAAAAGAGAAAGAGATCAAGAGAGCCACAGAGACAGGAAGGGGCTGAGGACAAGAATATTCTCTTCCAGGTTATATCTACAGTGACCCACTTCCTCAACCAGGCCCCGACTCCTAACAGCACATTCAGCGAAGGACTCATCACTGGATTCATCCTTAATGAGGGCTGAGTCCTGATCCAATCCCCTTCCCAAAGCCCAGCCTCTGGAGGCATGAGCCTGTTAAGGAACCTTTCTGATCCAACCCATAACAGCCCTGAGACCGTAAGGCCACACCTTCTGCAGCAGCTGTTGTTGTTGTTGTGCAACCTGCGAGAGTAGAGATAGGCAGAGACCCTGCACCCACATCCCAACCCCACGACAGCAGCTCCAGCAGCTGGTGGTTTTCACACTCTCTCTCCACTCCCGGGGAGCTTAGCTCTCTTGGGTTCCCGTCCTTGGATTTCTGCAAGATTAGACACGCACGCACGCACGCGCACGCAAGCGCACGCACACAATTTTTGAGATAATTTGACTTAACTCAGTAGATGTTCCTTGCCACCAAAATAGCCCTAAGACAAAAGCATTCACAAAATAATACTGAATGGGGGAAAAAATGCAGCAGTTTATGCTGTATTTATAGCTACATGAAAAGATGGCATAAAATCAAGAACTAAAAGTGAAGAGAGAAAATGAAAGCAATTAACGTGTTAGGTGGCATTATGGGAAGTTTTTTTTTTCTTTTTAGTTTTATTTTATACTTGACTTCCCCCAAAAGCAGTCATTTTCACCTTGGTAAGTATGATAACTATGAAAAAAAATATAATGTGTGTTAAATATGGTCAACTTCCACATTAAAATCAATTATTTTAGCCAGTTATGACATTAAAATAGACAAGTATTATTTAACGTTTCTCAATAGGCAAAGTGATCTGAATGAATTAGAAACACCAAGGAAACTGGGTGTTGTGGCTCATGACTGTAATCTCAGCACTCAGGAGGCTGAGACAGGAGGATCACCTCGAGTTCAAAGTCAGCCAGAGCTACAAAATGAGACCCTATCTCAAAACAAACAAACAAACAAACAAAAACAAATGCCTCAGAATAGTGTGGTGAGAGTCAAGGAGATGAGATTCAGCTCTGGTCTTGACCCGCACTGATGAACCCTCTTCTCCAACAGCTCTCTCCAGGGATTCTTCTCCTTACAGTGTTAGGGTTTTGTTCAAGAGTAATTTTGCTGAAAAGGAGGGAGTAACTGTATGCTTTTAGGGAAAATAAACCAATAAACTTGTAAGACCAACTCTCCACTTTATTTTGTGTCTACTTCTAAACCTTATCAACATATGCATTATGCCAAACTATATATTATTTTGATGCATTTTTCCATGGAAATACATGTTTCAGTCATATTGCATGTTATGTTCCATAAATGCATTAAGAAGTATTCCATTTTATTCCTGTAAGTTGTCTTCATCTGTTAACTATGATTACATTATAATTAATTTAAGATAACTTTTCTGCATCTTCAGTCTACCCAGAGACCCAGCAGAGGGAGCAATGGCTTGGTGAACTACAGGATGGCTCTCTCAGGGAGCACAGTTAGAAGGGGACTGGACACAAGAGTGGTCAGACAGGTGTCCCAGCATCTCCCAGCCTGTGGGTGCCGAGGCCCCAGGGGAGCCTCTGTT